GCTTTGAAGATACTCTCTTTGTCTTTAACCTCTGTAATTTTCATGATGATGTGTCTTGGTGTAGGCCTCTGTGTATTCATCTTGTTTGGGAGTCCCTATGCTTCCTGGATGTATCTGTCTTTTTCCTTCACCAGGTTAGGGAAGTTTTCAGTCATTATTTCTTCAAATAGGTTCTCAATCTCTCTGTCTCCTCTCCTTCTGACACCTCTATGATACAGATGTTATTATGCTACATGTTGCCCCAGTGGTACTTTAAACTATCCTCATTTTTAAAAACTCTTTTTTCTTTCTGCTGTTCTACTTAGGTGATTTTTGCTATCTTGTATTTAAAATCACCAATTCAATCCTCTGCTTCATCTAATCTATTGCCTATTCCTCCTAGGGTATTCTCATTTCAGATAATATAGTCTACATTTCTGAATGGATTTTTATGGTTTCTATGTCCCTTTCCATGCTTATTATCTCTTTGAGTTCTCACTGATTTCATCCATTCTTTCACCAAGTTCCTTGAGCAACCTTCTAAGCATTGTTTTGAATTCTATCTGGTGGCTAATCACATTTATTTCATTTAGATCTTTTTCTGGAATTATCTCCTGTTCTTTTATTTGGAACATGTATCTTTGTCTTCCAATTTTGGTTGACTCTTTCTGCTTCTGTCTATTAGGTAGATCTGCTACGTCTCCCAGTCTTAGTAGGGTGGTCTTATGTAGTAGGTGTTCTGTGGGACCCAGAGGCAATGTCTCATTGATCACCTGAGTTGGGTACTCCACAAATGTCCCTTGTGTATGTTATGTGAGCTCTCCTGTTGCAACTGAGTCTTGACTATTGTTGGCCCATTTGTGCATGGGGTCAACCCTTAGAGTGGCTGGCTATGAGGAGGCTGCTGTGTGGGTGCTGACCACACAAATCAGAATTCGCCTCAGCAGGTGCTAGAGCATGCTGAAATCTCCCTTTGGATGTGCTGCTTCTGAAGCTAATTGGATCCTGCTCTGATGTTTGAAGCCCTCAACTGGGTGTATTATTTCTGGGACTTCTTGGGAGGGATTCTGGTGCAGATCAAAGTCAGATGCTACCTTTCATTGGCCCCAAGCAATCCATTTGAAGTTAGAAGGCAATATACAATTTGTGGCTGCCTCTGCGAGGCCTGGGTATGCATGTGAGGTAAGCTGCACAACCAACTTCTACCAGCATCAAGCCACAGGGCAGGTCAGTACAAGGACCAAGATACACTGGTATCTGCCTCTGCCTGCCTCCATCTGCCTCTACCTGTTGGCTGCCTTATCAGCCTAGTAGCTGAAAGAGCCTCTGGCAGTACTCAAGTTGCATGGGGTATGTTCTCAGTGAGTCACCAGGTAGGGCTGGGTGGTATTCAACAGATTGATATAGGTTCAAACTCCATGTTAGTGCTGGGTCTGAAGCCATTGAGCAAAAGTCCCACAGTAGCTCTTCCACATGGTTCAGCCAGTTGGAGTATCATCCCATACACCCAAGGGTTGTGGGTTTGATCCTTGGTTGGGGTGAGTATGGGAGGCAAGAACTGATATTCTTTCTCTATGAAATCTCTCTCTCTTTCTAAAATCAATAAACATATTCTTGGGTCAGGATTAAAATAAAAAGGCCCACAGTACACCAAGGCTAGCTGCCACCCCCCTAGTGACCTCAGACCTTTGTGGTATGGTGGCATGTCAGAGAGTCATCAGTGTAAGACCAGCAGAGTTCATCAGGCCCAAACATACCAAGGTTTGGCTGTATGAAGAGAGGGCTCTGTACAGTTCAGATGTGAAAGTGAAAAATGGTCCCAGTCCTAGAATCACACAACTCAATCTGTACCAGATTCTGCCTGGATCTCCTGGAGAGCCTGAGATCAGCAGGATGAGGTCACTGGAAATACACAGGATGAAGCCAGTAGATCTCCCCTGGGTGAGAGGCACAGGCCAGGCTCACAGGAAACTGGGGGCAGAATGGCTTCCACCTCAGAGCCACACAACTCAGTCACTGACACCTCATATCTGCTTGAAAGTCCACCCTCTGGGCCCAGGCAGCTGACTCCTCTACAAGATGTGAGCTCTGCAGTATGGTGTGACAGAGAATCCAGAGGGTGGGACTATTGCATTCCCCCGGGCTAATGCTGTATGAGGAGGAGTGATTCACTGAAGAAAGATGGTGTCTGTGGTATAGGAGGACTCAGCACAGGGCCCCTGGTGGCTGTCCCATCAGTTCTCTCTCTGGAGCCAAAAAAAACCCAGTCTCTCCTCACAAGACTCTCATCCACTCTGTCCTCCCTCAGTTGGAGCACAGGGTGAATGGCTGTGAATAAGATTTTGTGCATTGACCCTTTAATATGTGCCTGGGTCTCTAGCAGACTTTTCTCTCATTGGCAGTTGAATTTCCAGATTTTCAGAGCCAGGTGTTATGTGGGTACCTCTTCCCAGCTCTGGGGCTCTGGTCTGGGGAACCCAGTATGGGGCTGAGACCCCATACTCCTAAAGGGAAACCTCTGCAGTTGAGATATCCCTCTGGAATCTCAACCACCATCGGTAGGGTTGGGGCCAGCACCTTTTGCATCTCCACACTTCCTACCAGTCTTGATGTGGCTTCTTCTGTAAACACTTGGTTATAAGATTTCTATTCAGCCAGTCTTCAGTTGGTTATTCAGCTTGATTATTCTACATTTTAGTTGTAATTCCAATTTGGTCCTGTGAGGAGGTAGTAGTCCACCTAATCCACTGACTAATTCGTTGTTAAGGTCTCTGTGGGAGGTCTCACTGATTCATCTATTTTTTCCCCTAAGTTCATTGAGTATTCTTATAAGCAGTGTTTTGACTTCTGTTACCTAGTATATTGCTTTTCTCCATTTCATTTAAGTTCTTTTTTCTGAAGTTTTGTCCTGTTCTTTCATTTGAGACATGTTACTTTGTTTCCTTATTTTGGCTGCCTCTTTGTATCTTTATACCTTAGGTCGATCTGTTATACTTCCCAGTCTTGGCCAGTTGGCCTTTGTAATAGGTGTCATGGCACCATCTCCCCAGTCACCTGAGACAGGTGCTCCAGGATTGTCCTTTGTGTGGGTTGTGTGTGTACTCCTGTTGTAGTTGAGCTTTAATTGCTGTTGGCACATCAGTAGGTGGGAGTGGCACATCAGTAGGTGGGAGTGGCCCTCCAGATGACTGACTGATTTATAGCAGATAAGCTGTTGAGTGGAGACTGACCCCACGAAATGGGATTCACTATAGCAGGACTCTAGTGCTTGTGGAGTCCATCCATTGGGCATGTCCTTTGTCAAGATAATTGGTTGGTGATCTAGTGTGGTCTGAAGCTAGCCTCGCTGTGTTGTTCCTGGGGCCTCTTGGGAGGAGCTCCAATGCAGGCCCAGGTCAGCCATTAACCTATACCTTACCTGAGGCTACGTGGTAGGAGCTACAAAGAAATCTGCACTTGGTAGCTGCCTGTTCTGGGCTTGGAGGCACTTGGAAGTGGTTATGTTATAAATTGAAGCCTGGATACTAGTACCAGAAGTATAAGGTATGCTGAGGCCAACTGATGATTATTTGGCATTTGTGGACTTTTGAGAGATTTAAGGAAATTCATAGCACAGGTTGCAACCTGCTGCTTGTGAGGAATAGCAGCTGAAAGATGTTCAGGGTGGTGCGCAGGTTGGGTTGAGTGGAGTCTCAGGGCATCACAAAGGTGGTGTGAGCTGTGATAACTAGTTTCATGGAGACACAGATTGGTTGCCTGCCTGTGCCTGCAGGCTGGTGATAAGGAGAACTCAACAAAGGAAAATGATGCCTACCAGCACTTGTCTTAGACAGAGCTGCCCTTCCAGCATTCATCCCAAAGCCAGATAATCCAGTTCCCCCTTGTTTGTTCCTGGTGCTTTTCAAGCTGCTGCCCCATAGCTGGAGCTCAGAGCAATGTGTCCATTAGCAAGTAAGTCTGTGCTCGGGCCCCTAAATAGGGATATCTGGGACTCTAGAAACCCTCTGTCTTAACTGGATGGAATATCCAATGATTTTTACAGCTACAGGCTGTGGGGACTACTCTTCCCAGCACTGGTGGTCTGAGCTGTGGAGCACAGTGTGGGGTTGGACCCCCTTCGCTCCTCAGAGGAAACCTCTACAGCCAAGATATCCCTCCTGACTCACATGTGGATGTGAACTAGCCTGTTACACATCATCCAGTTAACAGTCCTTATATAAGGAAGTCTATGACTTCCTTATATCCTCATTTTATATTCCTTTCAACTTATTTATGGGCATTCTTTTCACCTAGTCTTCAGGTGATTCCCAAGGGTGGTTGTTTTATAAGTTAGTTATAATTTTGATGTAATGACAGGAACAGACTAGCATAGTACCTACTCTGCCATCATGGCTAAAAGTCTCAGTCTGCTTTCTGAAACTATGCTCTGACATTTTATTTTCTGCTGTGTAAGAATGGAGCTGGAGTGTGGCAGGAAGCCTCAACCAACTTCTTCATGGTCACTTGTAGTTTAGGGGAGTAATGACTAAACTAGTAACCCCAAGTCCCTCACTTCAACCAGTCAAAGAGAGCAACTGTTTTTTCATTTGTTTTAAATACTGAAATTTTTCACAACAGTTCAATAGACAACTAATGGGGGTTTCATTTCTCAACAAAAAGTATAAAAGCCCTTGGACTAGATAACCTAACATTACTTCCTGCTATAACAATCTATGAGTACAAAACCAAAGTTATATAAAGATCTTTTGTTAGAAAACTTAAATCAACTGCAAAGATATTTTTAAAAACTAGTGTTCTGATTTTGAAGAAACATTACTTTTTATTTTACTTTTATGACTTACCTCATTTTTGTTATTCACAGACAATAATCATAGACTCATTTTGCCTTTCCTATCTCCAGACTCTTCAGCTATTCTCAGACATTGACAATTTAAGAGGAAAACACTCAAATTTGAGATCTTTTAGAAAAATGACATAAGGTAATATGTAAAGTCCTATCCTTAAATGTAAGATACACTCACCAATGGTCAAGAAATCTGATCGGTACTGACAAGTCATTCCAAAGCCAAAATCTCGCCAAAAGCCAGAATCCTTTTTGTGAACCTTAAGTTAGAAGGAAAAAAATAAATTGAGTCCCTTAAAAACTAGAATTTTAATAAACAATGAAAAAAATTATACTTTCCAAATAGTTTCTCCTGTCATTTATATGACTGATAATGAACAATACACATTTATATTATTAAATCCTTATAAAACCAAACAACATACAGGGTGAGGCAAAAGTAAGTTTATAGTCATTGTATGGAAAATAATACAATAAACAACAATACAAAAATAAACTGTGTTTTGCATACTCACAACTGTAAACCTACTTTTACCCCACCCTGTATAGTAATCCTTGTGAGCAAAGATTCTGGCCACTTTCAATTTATTTGAATTAAAGCCCTGTATAGGGTGCAAGCTGAGGTTACTAATAATCAAAAAGTGTGGTGCCTGATCTCAAGGACTTTACATCCAAGCTAGTATGTACAATTGTTGAGGGCAACAATTGTACATACTGTAATACATTATGATCAGTTCTACAGAGTGGACCTTATCTGGTACCTACCCAGCCTCTATTTCCCTACTACCTTCCTAATTGTATAGTTTTGGCCCCATGAAACTCATGACCTTCACGAAAGCTCCTTCCACTAGTAGTTTCAGACTGGGCCATGAGGACTCTATACTAATGTGACACTCTCACCTTCTTTATTATAGAAATTGATTCATTAACAGGCATCAGACAAAATTCAGGCCAGAATGCTAAAATGGGAGGGGCTGAGAACTTTGGAAATGAAAACCCCCTTGTCCTTGTGAGAGAACTACTAGAAAAGACACTTGCTTGTTGTAGATAGTGTAAGGTAGAAGTCAACAAACTACAGCATCCAGGCTAAATCAGTGTGCTATCTGATTTTGTAAGTAATTTTATTGGAATGCAGTCACACTAATTTGTTTACAAATTTTCTATGGCTGACTTCATGATACAATGGTGGAGCTGAATAACTGCAGCAGGGACTATATGGTCTGAAAAGCCTCAAATATTTTCTCTGATGCTCTGTACAGAATAAGTTTGCTGACCCCAGGCATCGGGTGTAATAACGTTTGGAATTGCTACAATCCTTTCACCACAAGGGAAACCAGCTTTGAAGTGAAGCTGTCACCACTTAAGTCCAACTAAACAAAGAAAATGAAGGCTTTGATGATACTGAGTCCCCAGAATCAAGTAAAAGTTGAAGCCTAATAAACCTCCTTTATTTTACTCATAGATGCAACAAGTGTTTAATCTGTTGACATGGTTCTGAGAGCTGGGACACAACAGTGAGCAGAGGTGACAAGTACCTACCTCTCTCATGGCACTTGTTTCCCCAAGTGTTTGGCCAGTCTTAGTTCACTGCTGTTCACTCTTGTTAGAAAAATCAGTGTTCAAAAAACCATGGCTGTTACAGGGGCCTACCTCCAGTGATAGTGGAGGTGCTGAACATGGTCTAGGGCACAACATACCAACAGCAGCTCATCCCTGCTGTCTGAGGCTGTGCATCCTCCCTACAACTCAATATTCCCAGAACCCTGCCCCACCTTTCTGGCTCTAGCAGCCACACACACTGCCTCAACCTGCAGGCCAATCTCTGTGATGCCTGCTCCTCAGCACAACCTCAGAGAAGCAAGCATACATAGTCCTCTGTGTTCTCTTGAACAGGTTCCAGATTATTCTCTCCTCCATCAATCCTATATCCATCCACCACTGCCATCTTACAGAAATTTCTCAAACTTTAGACTATTAATAGTAACTGTCTCACTTTCCAATACTAATATGTGTTTTTCTTAATTTTTATGAAGGATTTAGGGTGTCAGGTGAGGTAAATGTGGGTGCTTGATTTGCCATTTTTATCCCATTTGTATCAGTATACTGGCCTACAGATAAGGTAGAGGTGTGTATATGTGTCTGTGTATGCTTTGCCAGGTATTAGTATAAAGATAATGCTGGCCTTGTAAAATATATTAAGTAGATCATATGGCACTAATATTACCTATTCATTGAAAATTTGGAAAACCTCATCAGTAAAACTGGTCATTTCTATGCAACTGTATAATACTGTTTTTTATAACTGTTCCAGTTTTTAAGCAGCAATTAGCTCTTCAGAGCTTCCATCTTTTATTGAGAAATACTAACATCAGCTTTTATAAAATGCTAACGTAAAGTTAGTTCGTATTAATGGTTTTTAAATTCTCAAATCTTTCCTTTTATTCAGAATTTTAAAAACTTATCATGTAAAACTCATTTCTCTCAATTTTCTAATTATAATTTCCAATACTAAAATTTCCGTTTTCCCTTGAATGTACCTATTTTATGACTAAAAGTTTTTTTTGCCCATAAATAACCTCCTATATTTGTCAAGCTATTATTTTTTGTAAATTAATTTCTGCCATTGCCTTTTTTCCTCTGAGTTATTCAATTTTTTAACATCTTAAGTTGACTTCTTGGTTAATTTGTTTCTATTTTTTCTTAAACGTTAACAATAAAAAATTAGGCTAAGTACAATATAGTATTCTGGACTGGATCCTGGAACAGAGAAAGGGTATTAGTAGAAAAATTGGTGAAGTTCTAATAAAATTCCATAGTGTAGTTACCAATATTAATTTCTTATTTTTGACAAATGTACCATGGTTCCCTAAAATGTTAACATTATAAAAAACTGGGTGAAGTCTAGGAACACATATGCTACCTTTCTACCTTTTCTGTAAATCTAAATTATTGTAACATAGTAAATGATTTAAAAATTTTAAAATGTTAAGTATAACTGTTAAGCTGATGTAAGTACAACTCTAAGTTGTGACATGTGATTTGCCCATGCAATGGCTTTCTAAGTAATTCCCTACGTAGTTATCTAGTAATTTTAATTTCTAGTTAATGTTTCTAAAATTAAAATTTACTTTTAGTATTAACCACAAATATGTTGGCATAAGTAATTGTACAGTTTTCACATTCTGGCACATTAAGTTTTCTCTGTGGCCTAAACTTATTTCCCCCTCCAGAATGACACAATTCTAAAACAATAAATATGAAAGCATTTCACCAAGAGTGGGGGATAGAAGAGATTATGAAAATATGTTTATAATAACTATAGTTTTTTATTGAAACTTTGCGTTCTACTTGTGAATAAAATATAAAGGAACCTAGAAAGGATCTTTGTGGCCCTTCACAACACAGTGGGAGTCTTACCAGCTGCTGCTCCACAGGAGGGGGTACATTCTGACTGGCATAAACAATGGCAGGGTTGTAAAGACTGAACACTACAGGGTAAAACACCTTCTTGCCTATAAATTAAAATATACATTTATATCACATAAAGAAGTCATAAAATGAAGGACTGATAACAGTATCTATTAATAGTCTGTTAAAGTCTTTCTTTGATTCCACATGATGACTTTATTTTATCAATATTGTATTTTATCAATAATCAGACTCCTGAACATCATATTGATTTGATGAATATGATGATTTTTTGATAACATATAAGTAGGCTAGGCTATGCAACTATAGCATTGCAAAACAATAGAGAAAAAAATAGACTAAAGGGTGCTCCACGCATTTATTCCTTGACTCTGGGGAGATGCACAAAGGCCTTCTCTCAGCTGTTCATTAGGTGAGCCATTTATTGGGTTGGCCAAAATGTCTGTTTGGTTTTTCCCATAAGGTGGCTCTAGTAGCATTTAGTTGTCTTTAATTTCATTCAAAACAGTTTTGTTAGATTGTTTTGTGACAACTGTCACATAATGTGCATTAAAAAAAAGCTTATGAAAATTAGTGAATTTTTGTACAGCCATTTTAATACTGAAGATGATAAAATATACAACATCTTTGGCATATTATACTTTATTATTTCAAGAAAGGTAAAAACACAACTGAAATGCAAAAAAAAATTTGTGCAGTATATGGAGAAGGTGCTGTGTGACTGATCAAACATGTCAAAGTAGTTTGCGAAGTTTTGTGTGCTGGAGATTTCTTGCTGGATGATGATCCACAGTCAGGTGAACCAATTAAAGCTGATAGCAATCAAAGAGAGACATTGAGAACAATCAACATTATACCATGCAGGAGATAGCCGACCTATTTAAAATATCCAAATCAAGCACTGAAAATCATTTGCACCAACTTGGTTATGTTAACTGCTTTGATGTTTGGGTTCCACATAAGTTAAGCCAAAAAAAAACAAAAACTGTTCTTGATTGTATTTCCATATGCAATTCTCTACTTAAATGTAAAGAAAACGTTCCATTTTTAAAACTAATTGTAATGAGCAATGAAAAGTGGATAGTTTATAATAATGTGGAATAGAAGAGAATGTAAGGCAAGTAAACTGAACCACCACCAACCACACCATAGGTCAGTCTTCATCCAAAGAAGGTGATGTTGTGTATATGTTGGGATTGAAAGGGAAATCCTCTATTATGAGCTCCTTCCAGAAAACCAAATGATGAATTCCAACAAGTAGTGCTCCCAATTAGACCAACTGAAAGCAGCATTCTAGCTGAAAAGCAGCTAGAATTAGCCAACAGAAAACACATAATCTTTCATCAGGATAGCACAAGACCACATGTTTTTTAGATGACCAGGCAAAAACTGTTACAGCTTATCTGGGAACTTCTGATTCATCTGCCATAGGCACTAGACACTGCACCTTCAGATTTCCAAATTCTCTTACTGGAAAAAATGTCAATTCCCTGGAAGACTGCAAAAAGTACCTAGAACAGTTCATTGCTCAAAATGATAAAAAGTTTTGAGAAGATGGAATTATGAAGTTGCCTGAAAGATAGCAGAAGGTAGTGGACAAAACAGTGAATATGTTGTTCAATAAGGTTATTGGTAAAAATGAAAAATGTGCCTTTTATTTTTACTTAGGAATTTAATGAACTTTTTGGCCAACCCAATACTATGCATTATTTCATCTAATTAGCAAGAGTAGATACAAGTTAACCTTGGCAATCACCAAAAAACTTAGAAACTGAAATTAAATCCATTCTTCAAAATGAACCATAGAAGCAGTAAATCCAAAGATCCTGCACAATGAATGGATTAACTAGAAAATAAAACACAGAATTGCAGATAGATTTGAATAAGATTTGGGAAAGTTGGAAAAGATAAGAATCAAAATGACCTGATGTAACAGCTCTTGCAGGAAGCATTATCATTATCACTCAAACTTATAGCACTGAAGGTCCCTTAAGGGCTAACCATTCCATCTCCTCTGAATAGGGAACTCCTTGCTAAGACTGGGGTCAATCAGATAGATAATATGAAGTGCTCAGTAACTGTCAAGGACCCTGTAAGTTTCTTCACTGATACTCATCTCACCTTCCTCAAAACCCAATTAGGGAGGAGGAGCTCAGTTTCCCAGAGGCAAATGTATTTCTGGATATAAAAATAGTTCTTTCACATTAAACCAATGTCTCCAACTTCCACATTTTGAACTTTATACCGTTTGGTATAACAAAAGTAAACCTAACCCTTACATGCTTATTAGGCTCTGAGAGTTCCTGACAGTTATCCCATTAAACCAATCAGTAAGAAGTAGTAATTTGCATGATATAAATAGTTCTACATTAAAAAAAACTATGAGATTTTTTTAAGTACAAAAAACATTTTCACTTAAAGATTTAAATTATGTTTAAAAGATTAAAAAATTCAAATAATGTATTAAAACATCATTTGCTCATACATTTTCAAAAATATAACATAAAGCGAAATATAGTAAGTCATCCCAAATGCATAGTCTTGAGACCAAGCAATCTCTGTAACAAGACTTCTCTGCCTATATAAGCCTGTGTGTGTGTTGGTGCCACTACCTGATGTAAGTTCTTATGATTCTCACACATCTTCACAGTCTACTTGGCTTTTTCTGATGGGTGCTAGTTCCTCCTCGTCAATTTCCAGACTTTTTATTTCTTTGTCATTTGTTTAGTTGCATTCAAATATAAACATCAGAATTTGGCCATGAGAGAACAAAGGGTATATGAACTTCAGAGGGAGAAATTTTCACTTTTCTAGTTAATATTCCAGTTAAATTATGCCTAATTTAACTTTAAAAACATAAGTTGATTCATAATATGGGACATGCTAACATTGTTCTAAATTCTACACTCTTTTACGCACCTGGCTCAGCATTTAACCGGCAGCTGTTAAGGAATTCGGCTGAGAAATATATATCAACATCACAGAAAAACATCAAGACCTCTCCCTTGTCCCAAGCTCGAGCACCCACATTTAGTCCTCGTCCACGATTAAATTCTTCATTCAATGAGACCAAGGTGTAATTGTGAAAATTAGACTCACTATGAGGAAAGCACATATAACAAATTATAAGTCCCACTTAAAGTTTAACAACTCGCTCCCTTCAATACAACTTACAAATATGTTTTATGCTTCAGATATATTATCATGTTGGTTTTACATTCATATAAGGAAAAGAAATCATCAGCTTCATGTGTATGATCATCATCAGAGACATATATTCACTAAATACCCACATGTGAGGCAACATGATGGTGGTATGAGGTTTGTAAGTGTTGAGGGGCCGCTGCCCTTCAGAATCTTAAAAATCTATTGGAAAAGATAAGAAATATATACATGGAAAACAGCCATAATGTTTGATAACAAATAATATATTCCACATGAATGATACAAATAAAGAGTGCTTTTCTATTGAGTTCTTCAGATCTTTGCCAGTCCTCTTATCAGAGATACTCCTCATACCATACGTGAAGTAGCCCCTACTCCCTCTATTTAATCTGCATCCCACTGCCCAGCTTTGTTTTCCTCAGTTCCACTGGAATGCAATCTCCACTAGAGGAGGAATTCTGTTTTGTTCATTCCTCTGGACACAGTGGACCTCGCAGAGTAGGAGTTCAATAAATATTTGCTGAATAAATGAACAAACAGCAGTTCTGAGAGAAAAAAAGAGTGCTTCTGCCTGGAGTAGTTAGAGAAGATGTTAGAATTGGAATTTAAGTTAGGCCTTGGTTAAAATCCTGAATTCAGTGGCCAGTGTGAAGGTTATTCCAATTAATTATCCTCAAAGGCAAAGAGGAAAGTAAGTACAAAGCACTGTCAAGAACAGGGATCAGACATATCAAATTGGCTAAGAGGGATACTAGAATGGGACCAATAAGAGAAAACCAGAAAAGGTTTTCTGGTTTTGAGTAGTACCTTCCAAGGGAAGTTAGAGATCTTGGTCAGTGTCCTAAAGGCAATGAAGAGTCAGGGGTTTTCCATCAGAGTGTTAGTTCTCACTGTTAAGTCCCTGCATCCAGAGCATCAGCTTACCCTGGACGTGTATTAGAAATGCAAATTCTCAGGTCTCACCCCAGACTCCTATATCAAATGCTATGGGTGAAGTTGATTATCTGTGTTAGTAAACCCTCCAGGTGACTCTGATGTCAAAGGTAGAGAACTGCTGCACTAGGGTATAGTTGGATCAAAAAAAGGAACCTTTCAGGAAGATTACTCTTATAATAATATACAAAGTGGGGACCCCAAAAAGATCTGGAATTATCTTCTGGAGGGCAGGCCCCTTGTAGTACAGGCTTCCCTAGCTAGGTGAATGTTCTCAGGACACATCTGTATCAATGTACCAGCTGGCATTATTGTGAGTGGCTGCATTTGGCTTCAGTGAACTTTTCTGAAGAATCTTTCAACACATTTGCCCATTTCATGATGAGTGATTTGTGTTAATGAGCACACCTGCCCACACCAGGCTGAGTGTTCAGCAGTTTTTGACCAAAAGCAGCATAACCCCTTTGCCCCACCCTCCCTATTCACCTGATCTTGCCCTGAGCAACTTCTTTGTTTCCCAGAGGAAAAAAGTCCTCAAAGGGAAAAGTTTTGCCAATGGGGAAGAAGTGAAACAAAAAACGCCAGAAGCACTAAAGGCATGAAAATTGATGAATTCAAAAATTGAGCAGGGGAAAAAAATCTTGATAGGTGTGTTGCATCAAGGCAAGTACTTTGAAGGTGACTGAAGTTTAAACATGTAAGAATAAGGACATAATTTTTTTATAAATAAATTCTGGGTTTTTTTGGGTCTCCCCTCATAGAATGGGAAATGGAGAGATGGAAGCAAAGACTCAAATAGTGTATGAAGGGGACTCCAAGTGCTCTAAGTGTCCATGATCCCCTTATTATAGAATATAAATCTCTCCCTTCTTTTGGTGAAATTGCCATTCACCACCTCACACTCCTAGCACCAAGTGGAAGAACTAATCATAGAGCACCCCAACCATGGTAATTTCCTGAAAGCAGGCACCAGACTCAAGCTGGGCTAATTGCAATACCCCCACCTGGCCATAATAATTGGCTCAAGAGTGGGCAAAAGTTCCTCCCTGGGATTTTCTTAGCTGGATCTGAGAGAAAGATGTCTTCCTCTCCGATAGCAAAGCTCACAAGTGGAAAAAGACAATATGCAATGGAGAATAAAGTCATGATGCAAAGAAAAACAGAGAGAATCAAAATTTTGATGGTATTCAAGTCTCTGGTTCAAGTCTATAAGATATCAAAGCTGATTTTTTTTTTCTTCAAGTCTGGTTGTAATGATCCCTTTAGCTGCAAGTTACCCAAGATTCTTCAATAACACTCATTTTCCTTGCTCTCAAGACAGGATTCCATCATTTACCACAGAGAAGTCTTGACTAATGCAGGGATGGCTTCAGATATACCAATGTGAGTGCCTGGCAATTAGTAGGTGACCTAAAAATGGTAAGGAAGGAAGAGAAGGGAAGAAATGAAGGGTTAAGGGGAAGATGTGTGGTGGCAGCAGCAGCAAGGAAAGGACAGAGAAGAGATCCTATGCAGTAAGCAGAAACTGACTAATGAGAGATGGAAAGTAAGTGAAAGATGCTGGTTCTCAGGCATCAAGCGCAGGGGATCACAGGAATGGTCTTAATCTGAACTAAACGAGGGCCATCAGGAAGAGAAGACAATGTTTGCACATCAATGTTATGAGAAGGCCCTTTAGAGGTAGGAGGTACAATTCCCTCTTCCATGCACAGTCCTATTCCAACCATGCCAGTCAGGCTCTAAGCAGGGTATCTCGAACATAGCTGGTGGGATTCAATGAATGTTAGTGGAATGATTCAAGAAGAATGGCCAGTCAGACCTGGACTCTTCAAAAATGGCCACAACTAGCAGAAAAGCAAAGAAGCAAGTAAAGGATACAGAATTGGCATGGTCAGAAAACAAAATCAACTTAATATCTTACATTATAAAATATTTACATTTACAAAATATTTACATTTTATAAATATCAGAGGAACGTTTCAAGAAAGAAGTATTTGTCAGGTATCAAATGTAAAAAAGTGATAGAAGGATGACAGAGAAAAGGCTGACTTTGGCAATTAAGTCATAACTTTGGGATAACTTAGAGATGAAAAGGCTGAGCAGCTAGGGAATTAATAATGAAGTATTAAGGAATTACTAATTCATTCATTCAAAATTCTGAGCACCTACTATATGCCAGGTACTATATGAGTTGTCTGGTTAGAGAATTACTGTCTTGTGAGATTAAGCTATGAAAGGACAGAAACCTAACAGTAGTACCTAGTGGATATTGTAGAGTCAGGTGGAAGTTTCTTAAGGGTAAGGGGACACCTAAGCATCATTTACAGAGTGAGAAAAAATGGAAAGACAAGTGACAAGTAAGAGACAAACTTAAGAGATATTATCAAAGTGAAGGGATTAGATTTAGAAAAAAAGGAGAGTTCAACAGGAGGAATCCAAGGAATGATAAATGGAGGCAAACACAGAAAGTGGGTGAGCTCCAGAATGAGAGCACACTAACCATACCAGGCTTTCTGCTAAGAGGGTAAGTGAAAATGAGTCATTTACATTGCATGAGGGAACCTGGGGTGACATGAAGAAAACTACCACCACTCACATGCTCAGCCAACTTTTAAACAGCAGCTATTCCAAATTAAATCATTAAATATCTGAAATTCTCACTCTTCTAATGTTATATATCAAGGAATTCTATGTGGACAAGGCTCACCCACCTTGTGACAGATTCTAGGATGGACTTGACTTTAGACAGTCCTTCTTTACCAAAATACACCACTGTCAGATGAATCCTCTTGTCCTGATAAATACATACATCCCTAACAGAATTGAAAAATAAAGTTTATTCAGGAAATATGAAGCTCTATTTATTCAGAAAGCAATCATGTGAAAAAAATGAATAAGGCATTACTAAAGACAAAATCACATGAGTTTTAAGTAAATATACAGTACTGAATTATTAAAGACATCACTGTGAATGAATAATAATGTATATGTCTAAATAAGAGCAATCCTTGGAAGGCCAAGGAAGCAGTCCAACAATGTTGCCAAATTTCAAAACATTCTGGAAACTTTTGCTTTGATATTGCCTTCAGGAGCAAATTACAAGCTACTTAAGGAAATAAGCCCAATCAGTTCAGAAGCAAATAAATAAATATTCATTTTTTGATTAGAGACTTATTTTGTCTTCAGGCTGACTAGTATTGAAACTATACTTAATATTCAAGAAATAAAATATTTGCTACTAATAAGGTTACTAACTTTAAAGAATATTGTATCTGAAGCGAATTCCAAAAAAAGCAATAAAAAATGATTTAGGAAATCAGATCTCAAGTGAGCTATTTTAGACATACAAAACTCACTTGGAAGCATGACTTCTAGATATTGTTACAGAAGAGTGTTAACTAACTTTAAATCCAACAATTTCAATATAAGAATAAAGACTGGAATTACAAAGCATTAAAAAGAGCATATTAAAGTATTTAAAACAAGGCAATTGTTCAAAAAAAGGCAAAACTTTACTCAAAGTTATTCTAATATGTAGCTGTTAATTCTTTAACACTTCAGTGTTTTTAAAATATCCAAATCTAATGGCAAAAAAATCCTTTTAAAAAGTGTTAGTCTCTGCTTCCCAAGATGGAATAACTTTCTCCCATTTTTAGTTCAATGTTTATATTTCTAAAATTTATTTCAATTTTAAAATTCAAATTGTTCTTAAGGGAATTTTCTGGGGAGATAGCAATGTTCCATATATTGATTAGAGAGGTGGCTACATGAGTATACATTTGTCAAAAGTCATGAAACCCATCTCTGAAATACATGGATTTTACTGTTATGTAAATTATGCCTCAATGTTACTTTAAAAAATGTAACTTGTCTTTACATGAATTCACAAACAATTATAAAGGCAATCAAAGTTAGTTTCTTATAACCGTCACCCTCAACTTATTTTACTTCATAGTTGAAATTATCAAAAACAATATGTTATACATGTTTTAAGAAAAAAGATAAAATTATCCTGTAATTCTAAATAATCATACTCAGTGAAGATAAGTAAATGTGTATGAAGTGTGATTTTTTTCAGGCATGCTTAGACCAATCATTAAACTCTGAGAGTTACCTGAAGTTCTGCATGAACTGTACAAATGCTTCAGTTCTTTCAGCAAGTGGGACGATTATATTAATAAGTGATCTAGTAATGTCAATCATCTCGCTCTTCACTTTCATGAGAGGTCCAAAAGGGCGGAAGAGGGTCACATGTCTATATTCCATAAGGTCTGTTTTCTTAAAAAAGAGTTCATACTGTGTGCCCTTATCTCTCTCAGTGCGGTAATAACCTGAAGGAAAGAGTTAGGGACAAAGATGTCTCCGTGTCAAAGTTTATAAATTCAATGTGAATATGGATTTTAGTCAAAGATCGAAAGTCTTAAACCAGATCTGTAGGATTTTTATGTTTGTGAAAATATTTATCCCTACAACTATTTCTTTATAAAAGGAGAAGTTAAACAAAGTTCACTGCTCTGCTTTTTTATCTATATTATTATTCAATCCATAGCATATGCTTCAAATGACAAGGAGAATTATAAGCAGAATATAAAAATGGCATTGGTTCCTTTCTTTTTGGGTAGATGTGAACACATTTTACACATTACTTAGTTATTTCCTCAGCAGCTTTCAATTCTGCTGTAAGCCACAAACATAGAGTGAAAAGACAAAAACCTGAGCTTGCAGAAAAAATAGAATAGTTTTGAGAGAACAACCCATTGATAATGGCAGGAAATGACAGCAGAAAAAAGAGGTGGCTACAGGGAGAAGACAGTTGAAATGCCAGAAAGCACAATGTTCTCCCTGATAGCCTCTATGGGCCCAGAGGTGCTGTATTATGTATAGCAAGTGACATCCATGATGACCTGGGGTCAAAAAAACTGTATATGGTAGACAATGTATATGTCAAACAAAGAGAACCTGTAAGGAAGATTTTATCTAAAATGGTTTTACATCTGCAATTAAATATCCAGCAGAGGATATTAAGATGGGGATGGGTGGAGACCTATAATTATTCCTGTTTATATCAATCAATAATTATCTAAGACTTATAGCAGTATTCCTCAACTTTTGAGTCATGTCCCATTTGATGTGTAAAAATCCCATGCTCTTGTTGCCATTTGTATTAGGAAAATACTTTTCCAAATGCCAAATATGCTTTTTAATATTATAATGCCTCCTTGATATTCTCACATGTGATGCTCTCCTCCCTCCAAAATATAGAATAACCACTAATCTACAGAATCAGGATTTTTCTTTATCAAATAGTTTAAAAATCTTGAGCCTTAGTTCATGCAGTTTTAAAATACATAAGAAAGGAACACCAAGACCAGTGAAGAGAGGAAAGCAAATACATAGACATGTAAATACACAACAGCCCTAAGAGCTCTTCAACTTGGGTAGCAGTCTTCTATATAAGCTTAGATTTATTCTATTTCCCTAGTTCTTATTTTCTACTTTATTACAATCACATTATAACTTTTTCTAAAAAGCCATTTCAAACTGTTGGTGGAATCAAATGGGTAAACAAACATTTTAATACTGTGGAAAATGACTGACATATTACCAGCATACAATAATAACATTCTGTCATACTAATATAACTATGGACCAACACATTTTTCACATTACCTTCTATGAAATCATTTTCATTAAATATCGGTTTCTCTCCAAAGGGACCATCCTCATCTTCCTGTTCATCATCTTCATCAGGATTATTAATGACCTCCAAGCCAGCTTCAATAACTTCCACCAATTCATCTCGTTTGTCTTTTCTAACTGGCTTTTCCTCAGGATGGCGAGTGAGACCCATTTCCAGTTGAAATACTTTCATTAAGGTAAAACTTTCAAACGGAATGACGCCATACTCACTAGGTAGCTTGGCTCCTATGCTAATTTCAGCTTTGTCAATTTGGGAATGAAGAAACTCTAGAAGATCACTAGGTACTTGTTCTTTGTGACCTTGATACCCTATGCCATTAGACCCTACATTCTTTCTCTCTTGTAATGATCTCATCTTCTCATTCATTTCTTGCAATTCTTGTTTTAGTTGTGCAATTTGGCGTTTCAGACTGGTTGCCCTGGTTTGATAATGTTCTTCTTGCTCCTGCAGTAGGGCCTGATAATACTCTTTACCATAATTTTCCCCAATGACCCCAGGAAGAGATGCATTTCCATCAGTCTGGGGGGCACATTCCAGAAGATACAAAAACAGTACCAAAATGCAAACTAAAGCAAGACTCAACAGTAGCCACTGAGTCCGGGTCTGAAGAATCAGTCCTCTTCTAGGCATTCTTATTAATGTGGACTTGCCTACTGAGATAAGTTCTTTGCTTGTTCATACCTTTAGCAAAAGGTTATTGAAAATTTAAAAACAAAATTAGGATTTCCATAAAAGTTACCAAAATGAATTTTGCTGTAGCTTAAAAAATGTCTTCCTTCAGCAGTTAAGACTACTTGCAGAAATGAGAAATTATGCACATCTCCTGTATTTGTTACCTTGATATCCAGAATGAAGATCTACAGAATCAGATAAAATTCCATTATATGTCTGGTGACATTTCTGAAAGAAACAGATCAGAATCAATCAGAATTTTGTTTCCTTAAATATAGGGTCCAGCACAAAGAGCTCCCCTCTTTTATTACAAAATCATAAGCAGGTAATTCTGTAACATAACAATATCACACTCAAGCACACCATATGACATTTTATGTGAAATGTTCAAATTGCTGCCCACCTCGTGCAAAACATTCATGTATGCTTCCAACCACACTCAATGGTGTTACTTCTGCTGGACCCTTTACATCAAATTATTGACAGCTTCAGTAAACTTATGTGACCACTATATGTCAAACACCATGAGAGGTGCTGATACAATTCAGAATATTCAGTAAATTGTGGGAGAAATTATTAAGAAAAATATCTTATAAAATTAAGATATGACATGTAATACTCAACCAGAATGTCTACATATCCATAACCTTCTGAATGAATAAAAATATCATTAAAATTATGTTTAGAATAGTTTGTATTACATATATTCTATAGTTCTCTAATTATTTGGAAATTATATTGCTTATAGCTCTATATTAACATCATATTTTGATCAACACACCACTTTCCACCTATTGTGTATCACAATTTGGGAACTGAGTTTCTATAAATTGATTTTGTTATATTAATAATGGCTTACTAGAGGGAGAGAGAGATTCTTCCAGTAACTAATTCAAGAATTCCACTTCATTAATTTCTATGGCTCATATCTAAGAGCCTTAAAATTAAGTGAAGGAAAAAACAGTTTCAGAAGTTCAGAAACATCTGGAAAACACATTAAGAAACATTTTTACATCCAAAATCCTCCAGCAGATTATTTCAGCATTATATCACATGATTCTTTCAGAGAAACAAATTTCTGACAAGTCTGGAAGGGCTTAGAGTCTTATAAAGAAAAAACATGAACATTTTAATGTTTTTTTCAGGGAAATAATATTAAAAACCATTTATAAATTTGCAAAATTATTCAATACATAGTACAGTTCATACCACAACCAGTTGTGAGAGCTCTCCTGTTTTCTTTATAAATTAAGGATTCTTAACTGTAGAAACAGAGATGGTTAAACTTAGCAGACAGGAGAACAGGGGAGGCCTCTGCCCCAGAGAGAAATTCCATTTTAATGAAGTGTTTGTCAAGAACTGTATGTAATACTATGGTAAGCTTTTAACAGATGTTCTCTACCAGTGCAGGAGAACCTGTGGAAGATGATCACCTGGAAACATGAGTCCTAGTCACTTTTTCACTGATTAGGAAAGTCTAGGCGCTTCTGCAAGAAATGCTACAATATGTGTGTATTATGTGGTACATTATTTATATAAAATATAGGCTAGTAGACCTAAAAGGATTTAATTACTCTTAGCCATTTATTACTTTAGTTAACCAAATGATAACTAAGTATCTTGGAAAGTTTAATTCACCACTGAAATAGCAGTGTATATCACATAAAGATTTGTGTTACAATCATATATACATGAGGCAGAGAAAAGATATTGGCGAAGTAGGTGGGAGTCAAGCCCACTTGCTTGTGCACCCAAGTCAGACACTTAGCTGATCTCCCAAAAAACAAAGTGAACAAGCAACAGAATCTTAACTGATACGAAATTTGAAAGCCAAAGAATAAAGAGGATACTTCAAAATGGGTGGTAAGGATGTTTTATAGGTGAACGGGAAAGTCTCCAGGCATGGCACTAGCAGCTGTGGAAAGTCTGGTCAGATAGTAACTTAGCAGCTCTCTCCCCTCCCAGGGCAAGGAATCTCTAGACCCAGACAGGAGCGACTTAGAGCAAATCATGGGGGAGAAACAGGCTACACACTCACACAGCTTGTGGCACACCTTAGCTGTGGTGTGGATGCCAACCAGGAGAGTGCCTGCACCTGGACCTGTGGAAAATGAGGGCTCTGACTGGCATGACTGAGATAGACTCTTGACTTACTGGAGAGATGGAGTGTGTGGAAACCAGGGCACTGCAGTGGGAGTGCCCCAAGAGACTTTCAAAAGAGGAGCTGAAGTGTGATTGGCAGGAACCTTGCACGAGCAGCTGCTGCCTTGCCAACAAGGACAGAGGACTGTGTGTGCAATCTGCTCCCAATGGGTACATCTAGCCAGTTTGATCAAAAGGGTGCAAAGTGACGTGATTTCTTGGCCTCAGCCTGGTGTACAGTGGTACAGAGTTTAGAGTGTGGGACACTGATTGCTGTGAGGGCAGTGGGCTGGGAAATGTTCACCTGAAATTAAGTGAGGCCAGATTGATCCCCCTTCCTTGGTGAAACCTTTGGGAAAGGAAGATTGAGCCCAACCCCACCTCCTGCAGGAGCAGGGAAGATCTGCAAAACCAACTAGGCAGGCTAAATAACCTGCAGGGGGCATTTCCACAAGAGTAAGATAGCAAGACAAATGTCCAAAAGGGCCCATTTTGAACTCCCCACAGGGAGACAAATACACTGGGTCCTAGGGCCCTATTTATTGAGGCCATCAAACCAGGAAGCTCAGAAAGTGTGCAGCAAGGGAGATTCAAGGTGCCTCCCAGCCTTGATTCACACACAGAGCTGCAGTCTACACCAAGCAGGAGAGAGCTGACACTCTTACACAGATTGTCCCCCACACCCTTGTGAATCAGACAGCTATTTAATCAGAAACTATACAATACTGGAAATAAACTAGGACAGACTAAGACGGGAGGTGCAGGAGCAGGGGGAACACATACACAAATTTCCTAAGAGTGCACAGCGACTCCTAGGGGACAGAGACCTAACCCTCTCTGTTACAACAGGAACTCCCTCTAGAGGCAGGGGAAGGAGTTACAGGCAGTGTTACCAGAAGGTGGACAAACCACCCTGGAAGTTGAACTAATAAAAAAACAGAGACAAACCTAATCAACAAAACAAACAAGCAAGCAAAATAGAACCAAAGACACTGAAATTGAGAACAGGCTGACAGTGATCAGAGGGGAGGGGGGAGGAATTTCAGGGGCAAAGGGGAAGGGTTTGCAGGAACAAGTATAAAGGACACAGGGACAATAACAAGGCAGGGGTGGAAATGGGAGGAAGGTGGGGACAGCTGCGGGTAAAGGCAGAAAACTGTACCTGAACAACAGTTACAACAAACAAACAATATATAACAGAGATGGACCCAGAAAGAAGTCAGAAGGCAAACTCCAAGAGCTGAGATAAATTTCACCTTGCTCTTCCTCAGAACTTGTTTTTTTTCTCTTTTTTCCCCTTTCATATAGCCTTTTAATATTTCTTCTCTCACTTCAATTGGATTCCAACTCACTCACCACTCTTGGTCTTTTATTTTTTATTATTTTTATTGAGATTATATATATTTTTCATATTATTGTTATTTCAAATCCCACATAGCCTCCGTCCCTGGTCTAATTCCATTGTGCCATCTTCTTGACCATTCTCACTGTTGTAAACTTTATTTTCTCCCATGCTATGCCATGTTCCTATTCCTTACTCTTACTATTTCTCCTCCATCTATCCTCACAAAAGCATTCTTCCTTCCTTAAGTCAGCTTACATTAATTCTCCCCTCTTGTAACAGTCTTATATCCTTTCCACCTTTATAAATTGTGACTAGCTGAGTGAGGATATCACTGTTATTGCTGTTCTCCAACAGAACTCCTACTTGTTCACTATTTGTACTTTAAATCCCATAAGATACTCTCCACCTTTTACTCCATTTCACCTTCACTCTGACCTTAATCACATGAGTTAGGAATTTTAATTTTCTTGGTCCCTTCCTTACCTTGGGCTCTACAGTGTACTCTTATTATTTTTCATCCCTCATCCACTCAAAATCATTTTTATTTCTTTTTAAAAATTATTTATTTATTTATTTATTTATTTATTTATTTATTTATTTATTTTTAGACAGAATGGAAGGGAGGGAGAAAGAGAAGGAGAGAAACATCAATGTGTGGTTGCCTCTCACATGTCCCCTATTGGGGACCTGGCCTGCAACCCAAGCATGTGCCCTGACTGGGAATCAAACCAGTGACATTATAGTTCACAGGCTGAGCTCCATCAATGATCCACACCCACCAAGGCTAAAGTCATTTTTCTTTACCATAGACATCTCTTTCACTTTTCTCCTTATACAATAGTCTCATTCCCTTTCCACCTTTAATAATCTTCACTCAGCTGTTGTTGCTATTGACCTTCCTATGGTTTTTCTGCAATTTTGTTCCTGTTGGTTCAGTACCTTTTCAATTTTACTTCAAACCTCATAGCATACTCTTCCTTTTTCTTACTCCATTTTTGCCATTGCCCTTACAAGTTTTACATATATTTTAAATTTTGTTCTCTCCCTTTCATTGCCTCATTTCTATTCCCTACACTTATTATTTCTCCTCCCTTTTTCCTCTCAAAATCACTTTTCTTTTAGTCATCTCATATTCCCTTTGTCCTATATATAATATTCTTAATCTCTCTCCATCTTTATTATTCTTTGCTCATCACTCTTGGTCATGCTGATGTGGTAGGATTTTCTTCTTCTAGCATAGGTTTAGATGGTGCTAATACTGCTTTGTTAACATACATATACAACAGCATACAAAATACAGCAGGGCTTGTGACTACCAGTAAGCCAGCTGGAGGGGAGAACCCAACAAATGAGTCAACAATAAGCAAAGCCCAAGTACAACAAAAGAGCCCATACAAACTAAATAAAGGGCAACTTTAGGTCAGCCAGATAAGAAGATCAAAGAGAATGCACCACTAAGTCCCAGAGAACTCCTACCACAGAGGTCTACTCCATGAAGACAGGCAGGCAAAGCAGAGCATCCTGAGACACAGAAAAAACAACAACAAAGAATCATCTAAAATGAGGAGACAAAGAAAGAATCCCCAGTCAAAAGAAATGGAGGAATCCCCAGAAAAAGAGCTAAATAAAATTGAGGCAAACAATCTATCAGACACAGAATTCAAAACAGTTTTAAGGGTGCTCAAGGAACTCAGTGGGAACTACAACAGCATGAAAAAGGAAATAAAAACTATAAACAAGA